AAAGGATACAATCAACAAAGTGAAGAGACAGCCCACAGAATGGGAGAAATATTTTCAAACTACCCATTTGCTAAAGAGTTCAAACAATTCTATAGGAAAAAATTGAATAATTTGATCAAGAAATGGGCAAAAGATTTGAACAAACTTTCTTAAAAGAAGACACACAAACGGCAAATAGGCATGTGAAAAGATGTTCAACATCACTGATCATCAGAGAAATGCAAATCAAAACTACAATGAGATATCATCTCATCCCAGTTAAAATGGCTTATATCCAAAAAACAGGCAATAGCAAATGCTGGTGAGAATGTATAAAAAAGGGAACCCTTGTACACTGTAATGGGAATGTATATTAGTGCAACCACTCTGGAGGATAGTTTAGAGGGTCCTCAGAAAACTAAAAGCAGAGCTGCCATATGATTCAACAGTCCCACTGCTGGGACTGGAAAGAAAGGAAATCAGGATATTCAAGAGATATCTGTACTCCTATGTTTGTTGCAGCACTATTTACAATAGCCAAGATTTGGAAGCAACCTAAGTGTTCATCAACAGATGAATGGAGAAAGAAAATGTGATATATATATACAATGGAGTACTATTCAGCCACAAAAAAGAATGAGATCCAGTCATTTCTAATGACATGGATGGAACTGGTGATCATTATGTTAAACGAAATAAGCCAGGCATATAAAGACGTACAATTTCATGTTATTTGTAGGAGTTAAAACCCAAAACAGTTGAACTCATGGACCTGGAGAGTAGAAGAGATGGATTCAGAGGCTGGGAAGGATAGTGAGAGGGTTGAACTGGTGAGGGGAGGTGGGATGGTTAATGGGTATAAAAAAATAGTTTAAAACCTATTTGCTAGTACAATAGGTGACTATAGTAATAATAATTTAATTGTATATTTTAAAATAACTTAAATAATATAATTGGATTGTTTGTAACTCAGAAAATAAATGCTTCAGGAGATGGGTATTCCATTCCCCATGATGTGCTTATTTCACATTGTATGTCTATATCAACACATCTCATGTACCCCATAAATATATACACCTAGTATGTACCCACAAAAACTAAAAATAAAAATAGGGGCAGGGCATAGTGGCTCATGCCTGTAATCCCAGCACTTTAGGAAGCTAGGTGGACAGACCACTTGAGCTCAGGAGTTCAGGGGCAGCCTAGGCAACATGGGGAAATCCCATCTCTACCAAAAATGCAAAGAAAAAAAAAATTCACCAGGTATGGGAGGCTGAGGTGGGAGGATCACTTGAGCCTGGGAAGTGGAGGTTGGATTCAGTCAAGATTGTGCCACTGCATTTCATCCTTGTAACAATAAATAGGTGAAAAATAAATGAATACATGGAAAATAAAATAAAATATGCTTTTTATTTGCAACAGAATTTAAAATGATTTAAAAGATATCTCGGTATTATTTTAAGATATGTGTAATTAAAAAATGGAAATGAAGTCTCATTCACTAAAACTATGTTTATTGTACTATCTGTAATTCAGTAATTTGTGAATTGGTTCTTCACAGAAACATGCCTTTCTATGTGGAAAAGTGCAAAGTTTTAAATGTAGGTAAATATATTTGTGAGATTCTGAGGTGTGAGGAGTGCCTTTTTCTGTAAAGCATACTTGATGCTACTGGCTTCTGCCTGTCTGACGTCATCTGCTACTCAGTATTTCCTAGCTGGCACAGCTGCAGCCTCACTGTTCTGTCTGTCACTTTATATGCCAAGACTTTTTAATCTCTAGGTCTTTCAGTCACTGTTTGCAATATTCACTTCTATGTGGAATGTCCTCCCAGAATTTTCCATGGCTATCTCCTGATTATTCTAGCCTCAGCCTTACTGTCCTCTCTCCTTGCCTTATTTTATTTTTTATTGCATGTATTGGATATTCTATTATATTTTTATTTATTGTCTGCCTTTTTTTCCATAGGAGTATAAATTCTTTCAAGGCAGGGATTTTGTCATGTTCATCTCTGTATCTTTAGCCCCTAGAACTATTCTTGGCACATAGTAGGTGCCCATTAAATATTAGTTGACTAGTTCATAGAGTTTATCAAAGTTGATAATAATTTGCGTGGTGTAATGAGTTAAGGTTATGCATTGTGAAGCCAAAGTATTTGGGTCCACATCTTGATCCTGCCACTTACTAAATATGAGCCTTGGACAAGTGACTTAACCTCTCTGTTCCTCATTTGTTTCCCCTGTAAAGTGGGGATAATAATATAATTTACTTTAAATAATTATTAGGTTGAAATGAATTTCTATAAAATATATATATACATGAATAATATCTGATCTCTGTGTTGGAATTAGCTATTAATATTATAAATGCCTCCCCCGGATGACTTACCCTCATCTGACTCTAGAGAGGGATCTATCTATATAAATTGACCATTTAAGGGCTTCTTTCCAACAAAGTACAAGCCCTTGTTACTTCGTACCTTGATGGCTAAACACTTCCCTTCCTAGTCTTCCCTTAGTTGTACAGTTGTTCAGTTTTACAAAGTTATTGCTTTGACTCTGCTCCTCCTCCTCCTTTTAATTAAATTCTCTATTCTTAGAATCTCAGTGCACCTAATTTTTTTTTTTTTTTTTTTGAGACGGAGTTTCGCTCTTGTTACCCAGGCTGGAGTGCAATGGCGCGATCTTGGCTCACCGCAACTTCCGCCTCCTGGGTTCAGGCAATTCTCCTGCCTCAGCCTCCTGAGTAGCTGGGATTACAGGCACGCACCACCACGCCCAGCTAATTTTTTGTATTTTTAGTAGAGACGGGGTTTCACCATGTTGACCACGATGGTCTCCATCTCTTGACCTCGTGATCCACCTGCCTCGGCCTCCCAAAGTGCTGGGACTATAGACATGAGCCACCGCGCCTGGCCCTAAAATATTAATAAAATATAAAATAAACCATTTATATTGAAATATAGTTATCATGATATTCAAAATATTTATGTATATTTTATTAGCACCTTAAATAAGATCTAATGGCAGACTAATAATTACCTTAATTTTGAAGTGTTGATAAGCATAAACAATATTTTTAGATATTTCAAATATCATCATGTGATGAAAATATCTGTGCTCTCTATTGACAATCTTACTGGAATTTGTAGCCTACATTCAAATTTAGCATTTCTTTCATGAAGGAGTTTTAGATTAATTATAATTAGGTTAATGGTAATAAGGATGTAATTTTTTTCTCTGCCAAGTTTGTGGACTTTTCTGACAAAAATCCCTGCAAGTAAGAGTCTTTATATGCTAGGTCTAGCCTACATTTTCAAATTTATGCCCTACTTTTGCTTAACATAAACTGAGCTTGCAAAGATAGGAAATAATAGCTTTCATGGTTTAACAAGTATTTACTGCTTACCACATGTACCTAGGTCTCAGATAGTCTATTAAGCAGTAGAAATTTAGGGAGAGGTCTCTGCTTATTTGAAGCCTTCTATCTAGTGGGGAAATAGTTTTAAATAGCAAACATATATAAATTCAACATAGGATAAACGTGCTAAAGAAGTCAAGATGTAATGCATTTTTAGTAGTAGGGGTGGGTATGTGGTTGCCTAGATAACTGGTCAAGGAAAAACTTTCTGAGTAGCTGTTGAGCTGAGACTTGAAGGATGAGATGATACTTGAAGTTGAGCTGAGATTTAAAGGATGAAATGGGCCGGGCGCGGTGGCTCAAGCCTGTAATCCCAGCACTTTGGGAGGCTGAGGAGGGTGGATCACGAGGTCAAGAGATCGAGACCATCCTGGTCAACACGGTGAAACCCCGTCTCTACTAAAAATACAAAAAATTAGCTGGGCATGGTGGCGCGTGCCTGTAATCCCAGCTACTGACGAGGCTGAGGCAGGAGAATTGCCTGAACTCGGGAGGCGGAGGTTGCGGTGAGCCAAGATTGCGCCATTGCACTCCAGGCTGGGTAACAAGAGCGAAACTCTGTCTCAAAAAAAAAAAAAAAAAAAAAAAAAAAGGATGAAATGAAGCCAGCCAGCCAGCCAGAGTGTGATGAAGCAGAGGTAGAGGTGAAGGGTGGGAAGTAAGGAAACATTTTAGGTAGAGTATATAGTATATAGGAAGTATGATGCCATGTCTAGTCTATCCAACATATACCCAGTTTCTCCCATTTCTGTTGGCACTGTTTTTAATAATCCTTCTAGAGTTGTTTTCAGTAGTAACCAGGTAAATAGAAATATTTAGTTTTGGGGTTTCTTCCTTTATTATAGAAATAGTAGTGAAGTATACATTCTGTTTTGTAATTTTTTTTGTTTTGGCATAATGATGTGCATTGGAGTTCTTTCTATATTACTACACAGAATGTTTTTTTCTTTTTTTGTTTGTTTGTAGCCTCAAGGGATTCCATAACATAGTTGTGCCAAAGTTTATGTAAACAGACTTTATCAGTGGACTTTTGAATTGGTTCCAATATTTTGCTATTAAAAACAATGTTATGGTTAATAAATCTGTAAGTATGTAATTTCACACGTGCAAATGTATAGTATATGTAGGATAAATTCTCAGAAGGGGAATTTCTGTGTTAAAGGGCAAATACATTGTTAATGTGTTAGATACTGCTAAATTACTTTTTGCATAGTGATTATACTGATTTATATTTTCAACACTAATGTATCACAGTACCTATTTTCCCACAGATCAAAACAACACAGCCTTTATTATTTATAGATTATTCTAAACACTTTTTCCATTTTGATGCTTTTGCCTGTGCTGTTCTTTGTACCTGGAATGCCTGTCACTTAGTTCGGCCTGTTAGAATACTACCCAGTCTTCATGACTTTATACATAGGAGTGAAGAGAGAAACGTAAGCCATGGAAAGGAAATGTTTTATGATCAGTTGATGGCTCTTAGGTGAACTGACTCCTTGGTGTTTTGCTTCTGTCTGATCTTTTAACCTGTGGTACTATGTATTTTTTCTTCTTGGCAACTGTTAGAAACAATTTGTTTTTGTTTCCTTTATTTTCAGACGGGAACATTTAAAGCACATGATGGTGAATATTTCTTAGAACCTATAATGAAGGCAGATGGGAGTGAAGATGAAGATAGTTACAACAAGCCACATCTTATATACAGACAAGAATTAAATAACTCTATTCTGGAGTCTCTCAAGCATTGCGATGTGTCAGGTAAACTGTGAAATAAAACTCTTTTCAGCTAAATAGTGATAATTAAAATCTTTTTATAGGTTATAACTTATATATTTCCCTTCAGTAATTTATTTTAATTTTTTTAAAATTGAGAAATAAAAATTGTGTATGTTTAGAATGTACAATATGTTGTTTTGAAGTATGCATACATTGTGGAATGGCTTAATCAAACTAACATGCATTAACTCACATGCTTATTTTCTTGTGTGTGTGTGATGAGAACACTTCAAATCTACTCTTAGTAGTTTTCAAAAATACAATACATTCTTATTAACTAAAGTCACCATGTACAGTACAGTAGCCTATTCCTCTTATCTAACTGAAATTTTATTCCCTTTGATCAACATCTTTCCTTCCCACCCTGCAACTGCAGCTTCCGGTAACCACCATTACACTCTTTACATTTATGAGTTCAACTTTTTTAGATTCCACATATAAATGAGATTATATAATATTTCTTAAATATTGAGGGACATGATCTTTTAAACAATCTTTTCCCATGTATGGATGCATTAGAGATTTTCTGTCTGTAGATAGCTTTTTTTTGCAGTAAACTAAATTTAAATCCCAAAAGTTTTTCAGTATGTGACATTTGTAGCAAATAATCATAGAAAATTTTCACTTTAATCTGTTAGTCATGTTAGTATTATTTAATATTTTTCAGCAGGATTTTAGATGAAAAATACCTGGACAATAACACATTGCTCAATTTTGCATGGTTTTAACTTTATATAAAATGGAAACATATTGTATATAGTTTTCTGTGACTTATCCTTTTTGCTCAGCATTGTTTCTGGGGTTCACCTATTTTGCTACATGTAGGAGCAATTCATTTATTTTCATTGTTATATAACATTTCATTGTTTAAGGTATCACAGTTCATGTATCAGTTTTCCTGTTGAGCTTTTGGGCTGTTTGCAGTTTTTTGCTGTTGGAAGCAATGCTGCTATGGATATTCTTGTCCCCATCTCCTGTTTATGAGAGTTTCTCTAGGATATACATGTAAATACTAGATAATTCCACATTGTTCTACAAAGTGATTTTTAAATCAATTTTGTAGTTTCACCAATCTATGAGACAGGTATATTTTCATCATTTTTTTTTCCTGGAAAATTCAGGCTATTGAAGATTTATAATAGATTAGAATCTAGAAAGCATAGATTTCTACAAACAGTATATCTATGGCTGGTAAAATACATATTGTATAAAAGTTGCATTAAGAGTTGTGTTCATATACGTACATGTATCTTCACTCTTCGTAGAATGACATGCAGTGATATGATGGAGAAAAGGCACCTGCAGTTACCATCAAAGTACAAAATCTAGACAAAAGAGTGGGATTAGCAAGGATTTATTTGAGATCGTAGGTGTCTGTAAACTATAGTTCCAAACACTGTGATGCCATCTGTTTTGGGATATAATGATATGTAGGCCTTTGATGGTTTTCCCTGGGAATGCACTTCTTAACCTTTGGAGTGGTTCTCACTGTGTCTAAGGCCGTGTTTTAAATCTATTGACATAATAGATGCCTTTCTTATGCTTTTAATATGAGCATAAGGGTTTCATTTTTATGGCTTCAAAGAAAACACAAATGGGTACAGCTTCACAATAGAATTCTACAGAAGGCAGCTTATGCTTGTTCTAATCTACTATTCAAAAGCAGCTTGTTTAATGAATTGTTTAGCTTCTTAGGAAGAAAACCACAAAGTAGACATTCTGAATACATAAATGTTTCACATAATTTGGAGGGTTTTGCATTCACAAGCAAGAATACAATTCAAGAAAAGCTGGGCTTTTTTTTTTGTTAAACAATTTTATACTAAAGATTTATTAGAAAGCTGCAAATAAAAAGCAAATGGAAAGCTATGTGATTTCATTTCCTTTTAATCATAAAATACTTTTTTTCTGTAATATTTATCTACTAAAATGCAAAAGGTAGTATCTTTTTCAATTCTTAAATCACCTCCAATTTTAGGTACAATTAACATACAAATTTTTAATCACTAATAAAGGCAATTAATTAATGACCTAAAAGTTAGCTAGTAAATAATCATTTTTTTAGTAAAAGTGGAACATTGCAAACGCAATTAAAATTATCTTAGGCATTTTTTTTTCTCCCTCAGTTAACACATTGTTTAGAAATGCTTGGAGGTTTTATATATTCTTTTTAAAAAATTAAATAGCTTTTGGGGTAAAAGTGGTTTTTGGTTACATGGATGAATTACATAGCGGTGAATTCTGAGATTTTAGAGCACCAGTCACTCAAGTAGTGTACCTTGTACCCAATGTGTAGATTTTTATTCCATACCCACGTCCTACCCTACCCTTTCTGAATCTCCAAAGTTTATTCTATCATTCTGTATGCCTTTGCATACTCATAGTGTAGCTCCCACTTCTAAGTGAGAACATACAGTATTTGGTTTTTCATTCCTGAATTACTTCACTTAGAATGATGGTCCCCAGCTCCATCCAACTTGCTGCAAAGGACATTATTTCATTCCTTTTTATGGCTGAATAGTATTCCATGGTGTGTGTGTGTATATCTATCTATCTATCTATCTATCTATCTATCTATCTATATATATATATATATCACATTTTCTTTATCCACTTGCTTGTCAGTGGGCACTTAGGTTGACTTCATATCTTTGCAACTGAATTTGACTGCAGTAAATATATGTGTGTATGTGTCTTTTTCATGTGATGATTTCTGTCCATTGGGTAGATGTCCAGTCGTCATATTTGCTGGATTGATTGGTGGATCTACTTTCAGTTCTTTAAGGAATCTCCATACTGGTTTTCCTAGAGGTTGTACTAATTTACATTCCCACCAGAAGTATATCAGCATTCCCCTTTCACCACATCCATGCCAACATCTATTGTTTTTGATTTTTTAATAATGGCCATTCTTACAGGAACAAGGTAGTATTCCATTGTGGTTTTAATTTGCATTTCCTTGATGATTAGTGATGTGACCACTTTTCCATGTTTTTCCCATTTGTATACCTTCTTTTGAGAACTGTCTGTTTATTTCCTTTGCTCACTTTTTAATAGAATTGTTTGCTTTTTTTCTTGCTGATTTATTTTAGTTTCTTGTAGATTCTGGATACCATTCTTTTGTCAGATGGACAGTTTGCAAATATTTTCTCCCATTCTGTGGGATGTCTGTTTACTCTTATGATTATTTCTTTTGCTGTGGAGAAGCTTTTGAATTTAATCAGGTTCCATTTATTTTTGTTTTTGTTATGTTTGCTTTTTGGGTCTTAGTCATAAATTCTTTGCCTAGGCCAATGTCCAGAAGAGTTTTTCCTAGGGTTTCTTCTAGAATTTCTATTGTTTGAAGTCTTAGATTTAAGACTTTAATCCATCATGAGTTGATTTTTGTACAAGGTGAGAGATAGGCATCCAGTTTCATTTTTCTACAGGTGGCCATCTAACTTTCCCACCATTTATTAAACAGGGTATCCTTTCTCCAATTTATGTTACATGCTTTGTCAAAGATCAGTTAGTTGTAAGTGATTTTTATTTGTAGGTTCTCTATTCTGTTCCATTGGTCTATGTGCCTACTTTTATAGCAGCACCATACGGTTTTGGTTACTATAGCCTTGTAGTATAATTTGAAGTTGGGTGTACGTTGCTTCCAGATTTATTTATTTTTTTGCCTAGGATTGCCTTGGGTATTGAGCTTCTTTATAGTTCTATATGAATTTTAGGATTTTTTCCTAATTCCTTGAAAAATGATGTTGGTATTTTGATAGGAATTGCATTGTATCTGTAGATTGTTTTTGGCAATATGGTCATTTTCATGATATTTTCCAACCCATGAGCATGGGAGGTACTTCTGTTTGTTTGGTTTGTTTTTCATCTATGCTTTCTTTCAGCAGTGTTTTGTAGTTCTTGTTGAGATCTTTCACCTCCTTGGTTAAGTGTATTTCTAGGTATTTTATTTTATTTTTTGTAGCTATTGTAAAAAGGATTAAATTCGTGATTTGACTCTCAGTTTGATTGTTTTTGGCCTATAGCAGTGCTACTGGTTTGTGTATGTTGATTTTGTAACCTCAGACTTTACTTAATTTGTTGATTAAATCTAGGAGTCTTTTGGAGTACTATTTAGCTTTTTCTAGGTATACATTTATATCATTGGTAAACAGAGATTGTTTTACTTTATCTTTTCCAGTTTGGATGCCCTTTATTTCTTTCTCTTGCCTGATAGTTCTGCCTAGGATTTCTGGTACTATATTGAGTAGAAGTGGTAAAAGAGGGCATCCTTGCCTTGTTTCTGTTCTTAGGTGGAATGCTTTCAACTTTTCTCCATTCAGTGTGATGTTTGCGGTAAGTTAGTTACATATGGTGTTTATTATTTTGAGGTATGTTCCTTCTATGCCTAGTTTTTTGAGGGATTTTATCATAAAGAGATGCTGGATTTTTTTCAGATGCTCTTTCTACATCTATTGAGATCATATAGTTTTTGTTTCTAATTCTGTTTATGTGATATATCACCTTTATTGACTTGTGTATGTTAAACCATCCCTGCATCCTTGTAATGAAACCCACTTGATTATAGTGTATATTCTTTTTGATGTCCTTTTGGATTTGGTTAGTTAGTACTTTGTTGAGGATTTTTGCATCATTTTTATCAGGGATATTGGTCTGTAGTGTTCTTTTTTTGTTATGTCGTTTCCTGGTTTTGGTATCAGAATGATACTGGCTTCATAGGATAATTAGGGAGGATTTCCTGTTTCTCAGTATTTTGAAATAGTTTTAGTAGGCTTGGTACCAATTCTTCTTTGAATGTCTGGTAAAATTCAGCCGTGAATCTGGCCCTGGGCTTGTTATTGTTTGCGATTTTTAAAATTACTGATTCAGTCTTACTGGTTGTAATTGGTCTGTGTAGAACAGGTGTCCCCAAACTATGCCCCCGGGCCGCATGCGGCCCCCTGAGGCCATTTATCTGGCCCCCACGCACTTCAGGAAGGGGC